TCACCCAAGCATCTATTATTAATTTAATGTTAAATTCATTTATAAATAAACGCAATAGAGCAGTTACTTTCTGTATAACGATTATTTTGAAACCTGCATATTAATCTAAAAGAAAATAAATTGTTCTTTCATAAAAATAACGAATTGATAAAAAGTTTAGAATATTTATACATATATAAACGTGAATATACATAAGTGATATGTCTTGTATAGTTAGAGTACACACTTTTCGCAGTGTGTATTTTCCTATATAGATATGTGCACTAGATATTTTAACAAGCACGACAGAGTCTGTATGCACTTCAATCTTATTACACCTCGGGGAGTATACATAAATGTTTTCAATTGTTTTTGCATGCAGTTACTTTTAATCTGTATGTTTTGTTTGCATTTGATGTACAGCCAACAAACATGTATGCAACAGCAAAGAAATGGAACATATATTCGAATTACAGTTGTAATAATATTTATTTGTCATTTTCTCTGAACGAAGCGACCTTTGTGTGTGTGTGTTTTGTCCGGGGTTGTATAAATGTCACGGGGTGTAAAACGGCACTGCAGTTAATCCCCAAGTCGCATTAAGATTTTAGTTGACACACAAACATACACCCTCATATACATACACATCAACGTATATATATACATTCACACACGCTCTCAGTCGTCGAGTTACGATAATGACGCCGGGCGTCGTTTGTTGCATAATAAATTTAAATACCGCACCAACACCACCTAGACTTAGCCACGCCACAACTGATGTCGACTGGTTTCCCCCAAAGTGAAATGCATTCCACTTCAAACGCAAACGTCCAGAAGTCATCAAGTATGCACAAATATAAATGCGCATTTAAGTGCCGTTTCGGCTACTCAGGTAAATGGTAATATATTCAATGACATAACCAGATTTGCAAAATAAATTTAGTAAGTCTCAAGATGAGTCTACAGAATATATATACAGTTCTGGTGTCCTAAAATGATCAAGTGTTCTCAAATAATTGTGAAGTATATTAAGTAAGTATTTCTTGACAAGTAACTGCTCTATTTGATACGTGAAAAGTTTGTTGTCAAATGCCGAGCAGAGTGTACATAGTATTTTTTTATACGTCTGATGTCCAATCATCAAGTATGCACAAATATAAATTTGCAGTGTACTAATTAATCATTACTTGACAAGTAACCGCTCAGGTCAATACTTGACAAGTTATTCATTGAGTATTGTGTATTATTAAGTATCGAGTAGAGTATGCAGAATATATATTTACAGTTCTGATGAAGTCATTAAGTGTTCTCAAATATATTTGTGAAGTATATTAAGTAATCATTAATTGACAAGTAACTGCTCTGCTTGATACGTGACAAGTTATTTTGTTAAAAGTCGAGTAGAGTGTAAAGAGTATTCGTTTACACTTCTGATGTCCAAGAGACATCAAGTATCCACAAATATAATTGTGCAGTATACTAAGTAATCATTACACTACAAGTAATTACTCTGCTCCATACATGTCAAGTTAAGTATTAAGTAAAATATACTGCATAATTAGTTTAGACTTCAAACGCTTAAAATACATCATACATATTTTTGTACATTTAAGTGCGTTTTCACTCTAGTAAAGTCATACTAACAACGTACGTTATTTAACATTCATTCACATGCTATTGAACAGCAAAATATAAAATTATTATTTATTTTTTTAAATAATTTATTTATGTTTTGTTGAATATTTCATTGTTTTTATTTCACGCTATTGATTTTGAATATAAAACTATATACTTCAATATTATTAAAAGCTTCATTCTATTTGAGCATAAAAAAAACACCAAAATATTCAATTTATTTATTGAATACAATTACATAACGTATGAATTAATATTTCACCGACTGCAGCAATTTACCGAAATCCCAATCATGCTATTACAACATTATGAAGCAAAACACATTTTTTTTGCAATAAAATATTAATTTTAAAGACTTTTTTATCTGTAATTATTTATATGATTTTATAATTATTGCAATCAATATTTGATTTTATCGTTGTTTTATTTATAGTTAGTTATAAATAATGATCATTTCAATGATAATCATTGTAGCATGATAATCATTCTAGTTAAAGGATAATCCGGGTAAGTTTCAATATGAATGGAAATGTTATTTATAGTTATTATAGAACAATACGTGTATTTCTAAACTTTACATCATAGACAAACATTTTCAAGAGTAAATAATGTTAGATATGTTGGATAAATAATGCAAAACTTCTTTAATGAAATTGTATGTTCATACATACATACCCGATCGACGTTCATGAATGTGTATATATTTTATGTGAAAACATCGGACAACAAGGGAACAACAGCTAAGGGAAAAAGTACGTAAAATGTAAAAAGAAAGCGAGAGAAAAAGCGAAGAGTTTCTTTTATTATTTACGCATCTCTACGGAGCAGAACTCTCCCCCCTTCTTAAATACGCTAAGAAAACGAAGACTACGTTGAGAATAAAAAGGACAATCCTCGCATTCGCCCTTTGTTCCCATATATACTCATTTTTTCTTCTTCCTCCGTTTTCGCAGTTTATTGAAAAATAAAGTCTGATTTTGTGCGCGAACGAAAAATCCCTGTTTACGCCTACGAATGACATAAAAGTGTGCAATAAAAAAAGTGTAATATCTGTATTATTCAAATTTATGGTGAATAAAATAGGATGCAGGAAGAAGGAGCATTTCCATAATTGATGTAATTGTGTGAAATAAAGCGTTCGGATGTGTAGAAATAATATTAGGTTGCATCTCGTTTCAGATGTAACAATTGAAGCAAAATGTTCAACGAATTAATTCAATCAATAAAATTCAATTAAAAATACATGCTATGAACTACAAATTTGTAATTGAAAAAAAAATATGAAATTTGTAATCAATACTTAAAGTTGACATCAGCTATAAATAAAACCAATTTTTCTACAAGCACTAATTAATTTATAAAATCTATAGGATTCCATTTTAACGTTCATTCAATAAAGTTCATGTTCAATTAATTCATTCATTAAAATAAAGCATTTTTTGAAGATTTTTGAAAAAAGATAACAATTTTTGAAGTAACATTCAAATATAAAATATTTTACTTATACAGTAGTCAACCGATTAATGAACGTCCGAATTGCGGTCAACGAACATCGTTGCAAAATATTTGTATGTTTGTACAACAAACACATATTCGGATAACGTACACCATTAAAGTACGACGGTTGGTTAACGTGGCAGAAAAAAAAACATATTCGGATAACGAACACTTTGCAGTACACTACATTACAGTAAATTGACGATCGGTTAACGAACAACTCGGAATACGAACATCGATTTTGAAAGATTTATTTGTTTGTACAATAAACACATATATGTATAACGAACAGTTGACAGTACAGTACATGTCAGCAAATGGATGATCGTTTAACGAACAATATAATGATTAACATAATACAAATTTTTGAAATTTGAAGTTAAATTGATATTGGACGACATACTTTTGTATGTGAAGAAAATATATATATATAATCATTATATATTATTTTCGGTGCAATTTCGTTCTGTCTTAAGACTCTCGATGCTTTATGATCTATTCGAGGAGTTATTTACTTCCTCCAACTATATTTCAATTGCATTTCCACTAGAAACTTATTGAAGCTTCGGAATGTTATATTTCACTAAGCTATTGAAATGTGTCTACAATTGTCACTATTTAATATACTTTATTAATAATATTCATCCATAAACGAAAATATATATTTACACCTAATTCCAATAAAATATTTCGTTAGATTGTCAAAAAATGCTGAAAAAAAATTGAACTATTTATTTAGTTATAAAAAAACTAAAATATTTCTAAGTATAATTTTAATTGTCAATGTTTAATTTACTTCTTAAATAATATTTCTTATGTAAACAAATTTCCAAGAAAATATTTAGTTCGTAAACTTGTTTTAATGTTTTTATTGTTCATTGTATTTTTTACTTAAAATATAAAGAATTTAAGCCAAATGTTCTGAATTTTCTTAATTGTATTGCGTATATAGGAAGTTTTCATTGTTAATTAAATTGTTAAATTAGAAGAAGAAGAATATTTTTATGTTCGGACAAAGAACATATGTTCGTATAATGTACATTTATAGAATTTAATTTTATGGTAAATTTTATCTATGGTGATGATTGGTTCACGGATATTTTGAGATGTTTCAACATAGGGTCTAATAATTATAACAAATACTAACTTTATATAGCTTTAATAAACTATACTGTTAAACAATTTGTAAATACTGCGAAATAAAAAATAAGAACAACTATGGGTGACTGTTCTTAAAGTGAAACTACTAAATAGGCGATTTTTTAAGAGTAATGGAAAGAGTATTTATTTTATATATAATATATGAAATAAAATGTATACAGTTTATTTACTTATAAGTAAATGTTCCAAGTAAAAATGTTAAAAAAATATTTACAAAAGAAGGTAATTAATCATAATGCTAGCACGACTATGAAATAATATGTTTTATATATATTTTTTATATTACATGAATACTTTTAGTCTAAAGGCGCATGAAAGTCAAGCATTAACATATTTGTGTAATGGTTCTTTCGCCACTGCATTTACATAATCCCATTACCTTTAATGTAAACGTTATCCACGAAATGACTATAGAACTGGCGCCAAGGCCCATCAAAAGCGAAGTTAAGAATACTCGTTACAAGTTAGTAACTAAATCAATAGAACAAGTCTTCACTTCGATATTGTTTTAAATTATAAATACTTGATATAAAAGCATAAATGTATAGATAATAATAAAATTATCTTAAGATAAATATGAAAAGCTAAAGTTAACTATTGGAAATCGCTTGAGAAGTGTTGAAGGATATTTTTCAGGGCGTGGTGTTTTATGTGTTCCTGCGGGTTTACGGTTAAGGAAATAATAAATTCTAATTAAGTATAACTGATGGTGCGAAGGGTGTACTTACGTGCACGTGCCGCCGTTCTTGCATATATCCGGGGTGCAAAGGGAATTCGGTCCTTCCGAACACTTCGGCCCTTCGTAGCCATCGAAGCAATCGCAGCTGAAGCGCCTGCAACATACACATTGACCGTTTTATTACAGAACCATTCCCAAACCATCCACATCCCACCCGCCGTCAAAACCAAATTACAAATTATTACACTTAATAGACCCTTTGATCAAAACCCTAAAACACGTACGTCTGTGTGTTAATGTCATTTGGAATTATTCAAGCTGACAGACGTATTTAAACGATGCTCATAAATGAGTTCTAGTAATTTTAGTGCACCTCAAACCTGCATAATTATTCATTCAAAACTAACACTATAATTAACAATCTGCACAGTCTAGTGTATAAACAATTAATTAAACCATTATTGAATAACAAATTTAATTGTGATATAATTGTCCTAAGCTCTCGCATATCTCCAAAAGCTCGTATATCTGCATTTAATACGATGCGCGCGCATTTATATTGGAACATATTTGATATGCGCATGCGTGACTTCGCTAATAGAACTTAGTGTAGACGTAGCATTAAATAGAGTGGTTCTAATTTTATAAATTACTGAATAGTACTAAATTGGTCAAGGTTTATATATCTTTATTTAATCAAATTCTATTATAGCATAATTTATATTCAGTTACTAGTAGTGTGGAGATATCATTAGTTAAATTATTTATATAATGCGCGAGCAATTCCAATTGAAACACATTTATGATACGCATGCATTGCTAAGAGGAAGCACCAGTAGTTGAAGTAATGCTAAATTTACAAATTAAACATGAAGCATTACAAATCCTTATTCCAAAGAATTAGTTTATTTAAAAGTAATAATTTGTTAGAATAAAAAGCATTGTTTTATCAATTCTCGGCAGTAAAAAAAGAACCGGAATAAATGTTTATACGTGTTACTGCCTAACAAAAATATTCCACTATATAACAGTTAGTGTGTGACATTCGGTATAATCAAATTATATTGTAACGAAATAACAGGCAAAAAATTGGAATCAGGTCAGTAATGGAATAAAAGCACTGAATATTCAAATTAAATTAGTGTATTTTCCCATTTGCAATATATACATTTTATGATTTTTTTTAGTTCATTTACTGTTTTCAGACAGGGAGGGCCCAGAGTGGCGGATAACAGAACGTAAATCCGACATTATTGACATGAGTGATGTATAAACTGTTCGATGGTCAGTCACTCTCCTACGTGCAATTTAGCTGTTGATACTATTATCCTGGTAATTCTCAGTATTTCATTTGAAAATGGCCCGCATGTACATATAACGAAGTAAAATACGCTTTTAATTAATCGTAATTGAGTGGCCCAGATGCGCTAATAGTAAACAAACAAACGGTAGTCAAAGGTTTCAAATAATTAAATTTGTCGTTTGATCTGTTACGTGTTAGTTAACGTTTGAACAAAAAAAAATGTATAAAATGATAGATAACGTCTGCTGCTTTCATATAATTAAATTATATCATGTATTTAGCTTCAGTATAGTATGAATACTGTAATATTAATCTACAAGTCGAGAAGCTTGTACACATTTATTGTAAAATTTAATTTTATGGTAATTTTTGAAGAAAACTGTCGAAAAAATGTACGTTTGTATGAGTGTCGAGTACGTTCGTGCAAATGAATTGACACCTATCTACAGAAATTAGTAGTTATATTTAGAAGGGAATTCAAAATCCGATTATAAAATATTAAATATACTTAAAATAAAGTAATTGGTATAAATATTAAACTTGAGTTATCTAATAAGTTAAATTTCTTGTTGTTATCAAAAGTTTAATAACTATGCAAATGTAAGGAATTTATAAAGAATAATACACTCTTAATTATGGATTATTAAGTATACCAAAATACTTTAAGTAATTATATTTCTTTTGTTTCCTTTTTTTATATTACACAAAATACTTTTTTTCCTTGCAGTTGGAAATGCCTTTTGACAGATTAATTAGAGGCGCAGAAAAGTTTTGCTTTTGTGCGAGCGGAGACTTTCATCCACTCTCTACTTTTCGTAGCTGCTGAAAAATTCAGTTCGTTGCGCGCGCGAAGACCAGTAAAAAAGTTTTTCCTTCTGCGTTTTTAACGTTAACAAGATAATGCGGCGTGGAAATTTATGCGGAAAGTCTGCCGCGCTGCTTAAAGCAAAACGTTTCCTTTGTGAATTTTCCACTCGCCCCCCAACCACTCTTCGCACAAAGTATACGAGCTTTCTTTTCTGTCTCCCGTCGCGTCTTTGTCGTGTTGCTGTTGCTGTTGTTACGCAGTTTCAGCCAACTTTTGAATAATAAACAACCTTGTTTCATTAAACAATGCCTGATTGCATTATAATTAGATACTTTGATTGCCATAAAACATCATAAATTAAAATTAAATATCATCAATAAGTTGTATGCAAGTTTATAGCTTTTATTAACTTCATACTCTTCAATTTTGTTAAGAAACAACATTAACTTTATAATATATCCACACTACGTTCACAAATCTAACATCATCATTAACTGAAAAAAATAAAGTGATCACTCACATAACATACAGTATTTAACGTACGTTCGATAATAAGTACATTATTTAACGCACATTCGTTAATTTGTACCTTTCTTAATGAAGGTTAGCTAATATGTACATTAAAGGCACATAATGATTACGGTGATTGATGACAAAGTGTAAGTTCGTATAGATATTGAACACGTTTGTACAAATATGGAGTACTTTCGTTCTACCGAATAAAAACGTCATGAATTCAAAATATAATCCTATTAACGTACTTTCGGTAGCATTTTATAGAATAAATGTACGTAAACTAGATGTAAAATTTCTAAATCGATAATGTATTACTATAGAAAATAGGACTTTTCTAAAAATTGTATTCAAGTGCATATCGTTCGACAATACGTACATAAAAGTATACATTACTATATTACTCAAATATGTGTTAAGTTTAAAAACTGACTAAGTTAAAGCACATAAAAATTACGGGGTTTGATGGCAAAGTCTACGTTTGTACGAACTTCGAGTATGTCCATATGAATATCGATTATTATTCAAATATAATTCAATTATCGTACTTTCACTGACATTTTATAAATTAAATGTACGTTAATTCTTAATCATCAATAACATATCATTCAGATTTTCCTAAAAATTATACATAAAATCTTGAGAAAATAAGATGGAAAAGTTGAAGACTAGCCTTATTAGTTTACTAATATGCTTACGTGTAGTGATCATAACAAGTCCCAGTGAAACCACAATCCATCATCGTGCACCGATCCATTCGAGGTGGGCCAGGACTAATTTCATAGGTGATGTTGAAACCATAAACATCGAGCAGATGATCGAGCACCCGCAGATGAGTGCTTTCAATGGTATCCAGCTTTAAGGTTATCACGAGATAATCCTGTTTACTTTCGATCACGCTCACTTTAGTCACATTAGTTTCAGTAACCGTATGTATATCCCTGCCATTCAGTTGATAAGTGGAATCGTAGATCTGGTATTCCTTGAAGGATAACCCTTCAAACACGAACAGCTGAGTGAAGTACACCTTGATCGTGGAATTCGGAGATGTCACGTGCTGGGCGTCGATGATCCACTCGCAGTGAATCGGAACTGGGAACTTGTTGGGGAAGTTGGGGGATTGGATGACACCCCGGGCTGCCGTGTGCGTTCCTCCGCACCGTGGCCTCGATATCACTGATCCCGGCAGGAACAGGAATATGCAGATTATCCACCACATTATATTTGTCCTCCAAAACCCACTTCTCCCTTCACTCGCGGTATAACACGGTTCCCGGATCCGGCCGGCTGCTTTACGAGCAAAGTTTTCCTACAACACCGAACATCTCACGTACACTACACTTCACCCCTCACATTCGCCCACTCTCTATCCTTTTATCTCTATCCTCGTCTACCTGCAAAAGAGAAAATACATGTTTCGTATAAATATATGCATACAAACAACAGCAGACTCGCTTCCCGCTTACTGTCAACATTTGCATAACTAATTCCTTCTACCCCAATTTAACCCCCTGCACACTAAGAGATTTAATTATTTATGATTGAAGACATGGATTACATTATGGATTTACTAATAATAGTATTAGGATACTAATTAAACCTGATATATTTTTATTACTAACAATGAAATATTTAATTATTTACATTATAAACTTATTTCTAAACATTACAGAACAACATATGTTGTATATCTGTAATTGAAATATTGATAGCTACTATTAGTATACTAAATATTAGCACATAAATAATCCAACCCAACGCACAATAATATTAGTAAATCCATACCACAATTATTTTATTCCTTTGTTAGACTATAAATATTTTATTAAATGAACAATAGAAATAAAAGGCCAATTGTTAAATGTAAAAAAACGCTTAACTTTGTCTACTATAAAATAATGTAAGTTCAACAGTATCATGTATATTTATGATGTTTTAAAGAAAAAAGTATTGAAACTTTATAGAAAAAAGACTCAAGACTATTTATTATATAAGCAGATGATTGATTTGTGTGGCGATATTTAAAATTTTTGGTATGCTACATTAAAATTCCTTTAAAAATACCTTGACAATGTAATATCTAATGATTTTTTTTTTACTATTTTGTCCACTTTTTTTAAATTTAATAATTCGTAAATAAATATTCACAATATTTCTAAATTTTAGTCATTTTTTTTTATATTGTTCAATAAACAATGCAACAATTTTCTATTACAATAAAATTTATATTGTACTATAATACACAGCAAATTTTTCAGGTCCCCATTTTGTAAATTATAAAACATTGAAAACATTGAACATAAATATTTCAATAACAGTGGACATACAGTTCGGAAGCTTGATTCAATTTGGAATCTATGCAGGTATGATTTACACGAATCGAATCCGGGAATGGCCGTCAGCATTCGTCATTCGCAACGCTATTTTTATTTTACATTTTTTTTTCTGGATTTTAGTCAACGTTTTATTCAGTTTCGACCTTTTACAGTTAAACCGCAGACTGCAGTAAAACAGGCATATCGGTAATGCGATTTATCTTTGGACAGATATGTATTTTGGTTGTGTTACAATGGGACTGGATTTATCCCCAGATGGATAGAAATGCATTACCGATTGGAAGTAAATCGGCGGAGGCGCCGGGCCCTCCATATCCAATAAATGAGTAATGCTGTTTATATTCGAGCTAGTCGAGCTTTTTATTAAGCGAATATCCAGGCTTTTGGGGTTGTTGTGGGGATGGTTTGAGATTCGTTGCCCGTTATTTTTCATCCCCGGGCTATATAATATTTGTGGCATTGATAGAATGCGACCGTATATGTTATTTGTCCTATCTATCCTTCCCGATGTATTTCGTCCTGAACTAGATTATATACTTCGACGATTTGACCATTTTCTTTGAGAAATGCGATGAAAACTAGCTGAATAAACGCAAATGAAAATGTGAGAAAATAGAAAAAGAAATTATATAACATAATCATTGGCTAAACAAATATGTTATTAAGAATGAAAAACTATTAATTAACTTTATAGAAATAAGCCACAACTATTAAAAACAGCTTTTGCGATAATACCTACATTATTTAACACACGTTCGATAATACATACCTTAAATAATGTAAGTTCGACAATATATTTATGATATTTTATAGAATAAAATAATGGGAAAATAAGAGAAATCCATTCATTATTTATTTAGTAATTATTTAATTCCAGGTTTTCACGGAACACCTGTTAACTTTTACATAGTTTTAGGTGTTAAGTTATGCCAACATTTCTCAAAATATATTAGAAATAATATTAATACATACGCACTACTTCTGCAAATCTTATATCATCATTGCATCTACTGATTACGAGTTTATTGTGAAATTAATTTAAAAAGTAAAGCATTGAAATATGTAAAGCATTGAGCATTCTATAATACGTACATTAATTAACACAAGTTGGATAATACAACATATTAAGACGTTAATTTATGATAAAGGCATATACATAACGTACATTATAATAAACTTTCCATAATAAGTAGCTATATTAATGTACGTTAAATAATATTATAAAATATTAATATATATGTGTTGATACATTCACGTACGTTTGATAAAACAATTTACATTCGCATATCGTACATTCGATAGAACGTATATTATTTGACATTATGTTACATATTATGAAATTAATTTATAATTGAAATATAAATAATAAAACTACATTTTTTAAAGTAATTTATATCAATAATTATTACAATGCTCTTTTATTTTCAAAATTCCAGAAAAAGAAAACAAAAGTATGCTATAAATAAAGAAATAAATGAGATTAAGGTAAAGGTTTCTGTTGAAAAATGCTATTTCACCAGTCAGACTAATCGAAAAGTAGAAACGACATGTTTCGTGTTATGATTTGTGCCTGTTTTTCGTTGGAGTTTTTGTTTCACTCTGTTCCATGTATTTTTTTCTGTTAGTATTATTTATGGTAGTCTAATGCCATGAGGTTGGTCAGAGTCGATAATTTTCGGTGCGGAAAGTCAAGCGCACAGCTATCATAACAATTCCCGGTGGTGGCATGTGGCGACGCCGCAAGGGATTACCCTCTCCCGAGGAAGAAGGAATCCGGCGTAGCGTGGAAACACTCCCTCAACCCCCCTCATACACAACAGTTGCAGAAAAAAAGGGGTCGACGGATAAAAATGTAGTGGGGAAAAATGGTTTACAGATGCAGAAAACGTTTCTACCAACGAGTTTCTAAGATTAAGGAAACTCACAACAATCAAACCCCATAACATTAAGTAGTATTAAAGAGAATTCAGTGTTAGTTTTTTCTATACATTTTATATGTTTCTTTAAAATTATTCAGTCTCATTTATAATGAAATAGTTATAATATTGAAAACAATATAATTTGCATAGTACGGCTTCGATCAGTCCGGATTGACTATAATCCGAATTGAAAATTTCATAACAAACTAAATTTTAATTGAGTTAAGTAAAAATTCATTCCAAAGAAAAAAAATATGTTTATACAAAAAATTTTAAATGTTTTCCTGTATACTAGTGATTGTATTACAACAAATTGGGGTAAAAGTGATTTCATGTGGTAATAAGGGCGTTCAGTTAAATTATCCATAAAAAATAGGTAAATAGATGACATCTATTTACTCCCCCATCATAATGGGGTAATTCCAGCATAATTTAATATATTGCATAAAAAATCCCCAACTTCTAATTCAATTAATACATAAAAAATAATTATGAAAATAACAATGGTTTATTAATGAATATAGAATTGATATTACAAAATTCTAAAAAACTACCACGTAACCATAGTCATCCAAATATTTAGTTAAGTTAATTGATCTTATGAAAAACAACTTGTTACCTAATTTTATATTTGAATTACAGAAGAGTATAAAATTATTCATTTCAGTTGAAATAATCAAATAAATTTTAATATTAATGTGAAATTAATTTAAACAAATAAATTCAGTCACAACCACAAAAATACTGCTTTTTATAACAATTTAAATTAAATAAATGAAAAAACATAAAAAAATGCATAAAATGCCTAAATAGTAACTCAATGATTGACAGTTTATTTGAAATTGCCATGTTGATTGACAACTTGATTCTCAACATTTACTCTGATGTATTCCATGGGACAATATTCAGAATATCGCTTGGGGATGTAGGATAAGTGTCAGCGATTGACAGGTATAAGGAGGGAGAGATTTAACGAACTAGAGAGAGGGAGAGAAAAAAAGCTTTCCTAAAAAAGATACTAAACTTCAGATTTTTTACAAGTCGGACAAACTTTATTTATACAATATTTTGCGAAACATTTAACAGTTTATTTTTGATAAAAGATTTATAACATTGATATAATAATATCTGATTTATAACGGTTTTTATTATTTTTAAGTTTTTGTGTTATTATTATACAAGAAAACATTAAATACCTAAAGAAATAATTATGTATTCATAAATTTATATTATCTAAAAAATCATCATCTAATTCTATTTTTTGCATGTTTTTTTTTATTCAAAAAAAAGTTTGAACATGAGTAGTTTAGACTAAATTTCATTTACAAGTAAATCCAATTAAAAAATATTTTCCGTCTGTGTTACGTATAAAATAAATATAGAATACATTGTAATAAATCAAATTTCGCTCGTTTTTGTTTAACGAATTGTTATAATTCAATTAATTAATTATATGGAATACAAGTAAATAATTGCGTGAAGTATGCACGATTTAATTTCGCTGGAGCAAATAACTTATTAATCTTCATTCCAATTGTATTTAATTCGATTTATTTTCATTTACGAAAATGCACGAATTTATTTTAAATATTAAAAAGGATATCTATTATATTTTCATTACACTAATTTTTCATACATTTTATTTACATATAAAATCAGAATGTAATATTTATTAATTATTGATATTACTATTACAAAAAAATGGCTTATCAATAATAAGTTTTAGTTGCTTGATTTTATAAATATAAGTTCATAATAGTTCATTGTAAAGATTTTTTTTGTTATAATTTCTCTTAATGTTTGTTTATTTATATATGATAGTTATAATGAACATTACTATTAATTAAGGATTTTAAAAATATTGGAAATATGCAATAAATTATGTTTAGAAAAAGAAAATTAAATTTTGACTTTCAATTATCAAAAATTAAGGATTTGAATTTAGTTAGTAGCCTTCTGGTCATATTTGTGTCCAGTAAAGATATTTAATAATAAGGATTTTAATTCGGAGAAGGATAAAATTATTGTTAATCCTTAAGAAAATTTAACAAGTATATAACAAACGATTAGGTGAGAAAACGAGATAATTTGGGATTATACCACATGATTAGTATTAAAAAACAGTAAGTCATTAACAAT